GTAGATTAAAAGACAAAAACTCCAATTCTTTTTGAAACAATTGCTGGATCTCGACAGAGATACACTTTTGGTAAGCAACAGATAATGTGAACGTAAATGTATATATCATGTGTGTGTGTTTGTGTGTATTGCTGTTTAACTTACGTTTACATTTTATTTGTTAATTAAATTTGTAACTCAAGGTTTATAGCAAAGTCTGCATAATAAAGAAGTACCTTGTATTTATTTTTTAGTTTTTGCTATATTATATAACGGCGTACAGACGTATAAACAAATATGCATTATACATGATATTACAAGAAAGCTGGCTGTCACCCTAACAGCAAATTAATACAGCGTTAGGACAGTTACATAAATAATATTTTGAGAAAGAAATGTGTAATAATTATACAAAATATATTTAACTATTTGTTTGTCCCTATATTCAAGTTGATCCCGTAAATCCTTACAAAAAAAATCATCTGCATCGAAATAATAGACAACTACCAAACAATCGAAGTTCTTTAATACAGGTAAATTTTCATCATTGTATGGTGAGTAGAATGAAGTACTTCAACTTCCACAAAATTAGGGTTTTTACTTGATTTATTAAAAAAAACCATATGAATGACAGTATTGGCGCTCACGAAGCATTTTATAAATTAAGTGTTGAATTTGAATCATAATCTCTTGTCGGCGACAACAAAGGCTCCCCTTTTTCATTATGTATTGCTATCACGAGAAGAAAATGCAATTCCGTAATCTCATTCGAACCATCAATGGATGAATTTTGAATCTAAGGGCATACACTATAGTTAATCTTTCGGATTAATATCTGTAGCATTCAATTCCTACTTGTTTCTAACTCAATTGATTTTTTGAGAACTTCCAAATCCTGTTAGCGGCCTCACTCGTGTTCTACCCTTTTAATGAAGGGGATTTACATGACAGACATGTCAACGTGGGATCTAGGAAATTGATATAACCGAAATTGACAATTCAGCAAAGTGGCAATTCTAGCTGTTTTAGATAATTGTTCGATCTTCTAACGAAGAAACAAGCAGCAATTTTTATTTCAGCCAACTAATTTTAACTTGAAAATAACATCATTAACGGCAAGGGAATTGCTTTTGAAAAAACAGTCACAAAACATAAGCAGAAATAATTTAACTTTGTTGCATATCACTATTTTTGATATTAGTATTCGAGTGTCCGTATCGGCGTCCTACTTACTAAGATGTAATGATATGCAGCAAAAATCCATTGCCATATTCTCAAGGCCGAGGTCAAGGTTTGATCTGTTTATTGATTCATTGCTGTACAGTTGTTATCCCATAGTGCTTTTAGCAAAAACATAAAAACGAATCCCGGAAGACTGGAGATTTAGCCGGGTACCAGCCCGACCTAGTTGTGGTTTGTAATCCCAAAAATGTGATACAATGAGACAAACCTAGAGCTGTTTTTGAATAAAGTGAAAAAGAAATGTTAATTGAAACGAACACAAACAAAACACTATTTTCTTGATTATAAATATAATAATAATAATTTATCAATTTATTAGTTTAGAGCACTATTATAGTAAATATTGTACATACAATCGAACTATTTACATTAACATTGTAATATTGACTAAAGAACAATGATGTAATGAATTAATCCAGGAACAAATATCACTAAGATGATTCCGAAATCCCGGCTATCGTGCAATGATATTGCTAGACACTTGACGAACCTTGTCCCAATTCTCGAAGTATGCCAATTGTTTCTTCGAAGTACGATTAGTCATTCTACCTCAAATGGATACTCCCTGGCCTCGCACCAACCAACTCACACGAATTAAAATACTCACAATGAATGTAGTTGATAATTTTTGGATATCCTGTAAGAAAAAAAAAATTAAAAACAACGTTAGCTTGCTTGTCATCACCAGTAGGTTTAACCTAAATATCGTGGAAACGTCACTTGACCAACGTAACGATGATTGGCATCGATTTTTGAAACAAAGATACAGATTATTTTTACTCAATGCCAAGTTGGGTCGATCGTGGGTGTTGGAAATACAATTGACCGAATTCTTCCTTTAAGTCTAAAATTATTTGGCCTACCTTTAAAATATCCCTTTAGCAAGAGTATTTAATAATGTTCGTTCCTTGTCCATTAACTCAGTCTAATCTCTTAAAATATTTTTTTTATAGTTAAACTAATGATTTATGTATTAATTATGTATTGATAAAACGAAATCTTAATAAATTACATTTTCCGGGAGTTTTATAAAGGCTTTTTTGAACGTGTGTGTAAACTTCGCCATTTTGAAACCAAACAATAATACTGATATAATGTGTATATGACCAATTAGGTGCTACCGTATATAACAGTATGCTTAAATAACAATTCTAGTGTTTATAATTTATGTATTTGAACATTTAGATCTACCACAAGATGGTTTAGATTATATACTTTTATAAATACTGATATAGTAAAGCCGTCCTAGCTTTCAAGCATAATAATTTAATAATAAAAAATGGTACACACACAACTAGATTAGACTGAATCTAGGTTTTTACAAAGTTGATAAGAACAAAATTTAGGTTAACATAATTTAATAGCCAATGGTTGTAAAAAGGCGCATGCCAAAACTTAAGTTAATAAAAGAAAAAATGTGAACAATACTCATTTACAAAGATTTCGTTTTAAATATAAAGTTGGTTTCTAGCATGCATTTATTTCCAGCATGAACAAGTGCAGAATGCGGGATTATGCACACAGTATATATAAAATATAATGTATATGTAATATATATATATATATATACATGTATATATATAAATACATACATATATATAGGCCTATATATATTTATATATATAGGCCTATAAATATATATTTTTAGTAATTTTATTTATTTTTCTGGTACAAAAAACATGGCAGTAAAAACTGAATTTTGTTTTAAAGATTAATAATAGCAACAACGTATACCAATTGGGAAACCTTAAAATCATTACAATTAAATTTTAACAGTAATAATTTCAGCAACAATAAAATGAAACATACAAATAAAATTTATAGTCTATAGGCTATAAAACATATATACTAAGGAATTGAATATGGCATGTTATTATAATATCTATTTATACTTGAAATAAAAGTATATAGGCCTATATATATATATATATATATATATATATACACTGTAAAAACAACGTTGAGCAAAAGCTAAACGTGTTTAGGCCAGGCCTAATGTGTTTAGGTTTCTGACGTGTTTAGCATTAAATGTGGTATTTGACATCATGATGTCAAATACATAAGCACCTTTAATTCTAAACACGTCAAGATCCTAAATATATTAAGCTATGTCTAAACACGTTTAGCTTTTAAACGTGTCACCAAACACGGGACGACATTGCGTGGAGCTTTTGTGTTTCCTTCACGCTCTTTTTACAGTGTATTATATAGACTTGTTGACCTAATTTTTAATAGCCTGTATTTAAAATTTATATAATTTCCTTTTATCGATATGGGATTATGGAAAGAAACGCGACTATTGATTTTGTATTATGGTTTAAATGGTTAAATTAGGCATAGTAGTCGTTAAGATAAACTAATCGCAACGATAACAATGTCAATAATGTTAACAATAATCATTATAATTTGATATAGCGATATAAATGATTGCTTCAGATATATTTGTATATACATGTATGGTTTTTTAATGTAGGCCTAACCTATTACAGGCCTAGGCTATTATTATTATTATTATTATTATTATTATTATTATTATTATTATTATTATTATTATTATAACAATAATAATAATAATAATAATATTATTATTATTATTATTATTATTATTATTATTATTACTACTACTACTACTACTAATAATAATAATAATAATAATAATAATAATAATAATAATAATAATAATAATAATGAGTGTATTACTTTGGCATATACTGTGAAATTCTTCGTCCCCAATTGTTATTAATAATAATTAACAATATGACACTTTGTTGTACCGGCGTTAACAAATTGGTAGGCTTTATTTAGGTACATTTTAATGTTGCTATTAATATTAACGAAATAAATAAAACTATCAATATTTCGCTATAATTTAATAAATAATTTTGTTTAGTAGCATTTAATCAGCCAGTAAATACAATATTTTTGAAACATTATTTTAATTGTTCGAGCCTATAAGGTTTATAATACCAATTATTATGCACAAAAGTAAGGCACGTTCTGTGTATAGAATGTTATATTTTATAGGCCTACTATGCTTTCTTTTATTGTTTTTCATAAAGCACGCAGGCCAACGTTGGCTAATACTATGGCATAGACCTACTGACAACGTCCACAAGTAGGCCTAGACATAATTAATCACTGGTTTCGATGGTGATTGATTTATGTAATTGAAAAGTTCAATAAGTGACAATTTCATTAAGTGTGTGTTATTGCTTTCCATTATAGTGTTGGTTTTCATGTCTCTTTCTTTATAAATTCATCTGGTGCAGCATCAAATATAAACTTGCCTGATTCTATAATCGAAGATCTACACCAAACGATCAACAGCGCTTGAGTGACAAAGTGCCTGTCCCCTAAGTGAAGCACAAACTGAAGAAATAGCCGTGCAAACTATAGCCGCTTTGATCTTCGCTTTTTCAAGCCATCCAAGGTCGGGCATATGACATGCCCATCATTCATATGGCGCCAGCATGTCTCCGAGCAATGTACATATTGAATTTACACAACTAAAGAATGGTGGCGGCAAAATGAATTCGTCATGTTAAGCAAACCTTTGCTCTGATATGTATGTTCAATTTCCACTGTCCGTACTTACACAAGTTTCTCATTTACAAAAGAAGCGCTTTTATTAAGCTTAAGGAAAGGTGATAGATTTGTTTGATCTTTAAACCCTCACGAATTGTTTCTGTAATCTTTAGCAGTAGCAGCTGTAATCCACGTGTACTATACACGCACAAATTTCCCCATCTCTTTGCCGACCTCACAAGAACGCCTTAAAAAATTCAAAAGCTAATTGAGAAATGGATATAATATGTAATTACAAGACATGTCAATGTTAAACATAAGCAAAGATATGAGATTAGAGAATTATGCTAGAGGACGTTAACGATGCTCTATACTTTAAAGTTTGTAAGGTTATGTTAGAAACATCATTTCACAAATCATATTACAGGAACCTAATAACAAAGTTAAATTCAATCTTGAAAAGCAAACGAAACTGTGGTCAAATCCGTACGTTTATATTATTTGTTATTTAGATACGTAGAAGCATTCGTTTGCCTACGAGGCAGCGTACGGTATTATGCAATGTAATGCTCACATATTAAATCAAGACTTCCTTTTCATTTTTTCTTTTCATAAATATATCTAGAAACGATATCTCAACATATTTTTATAGAAAGAGCTTAACACCAAAATGGCAGCAACTAAAACATTACTAGAGGTAAATATATCATGTGCATGTTTAGGCCTTACATATTTTAAAAATGTAATTAAACGATTTAGAAAATATGCAACGATGTTCATTAATCAACATTAAATGAAGGCTTAAGTCTATAGTGTACATTAAGTACACGATTTAGTCAATAAGTCAATTCAAGAAATAAAAAAAATAAACAAACGAAGAATAGACACTGGACTTATTGAACGAATATTTAGCCACATCTGCAAACCAGAGCAGCAGAGAGCAACATTACACTGTCAAATTCGTTTGTTAGTGGTGAGTAAATGAGAGTAAAAGAGGAAGGAAAATACTGTACAAAGAAATCGTATCAAACTAATTTCATCAACGAAAGTATCTATTTATTTGTTTGTTTCGTTGATTAACTGGGCCTATGTTTGATACGATTTATAACATCATGTCCCTATTTTGATCTATGTATTATTATATATTTACTTTATAATATATATATATATATATAGTATATATATAGGCCTATATATATATATATATATATATATATATATATGATGTTGTATTGATAGGTTCTTATATCTCTTATCATCGATTACGGTAGTCATAACATTTTGCAAAACGAGGAGCGTAAAACATAAAATATATAAAAGAAAATAACATGTTCTAAAATACTTAACTATAAAAGCTGCCTTTATCAAGGAAAGTGAAATTGATTTAAACCAACAATTATAATAAAGTGATATATACATTAAAATAACTTCAGTAAAATAACACTATTAATAATACATTTACTTTAGGCCCTAGGCCTATTTGATTAATATGTTGTATTTTATAAACAGAGAGTTGCAGCATATTTTCTAATGAAAATAAGTTGTCATGGAAATCTTCTATAAAGGACAACAATTTGACTTTTTTTTTTGATTAATAGCAAAAACTTCAAAAGGACAATGACGACTTCGTTGTATGTGTCTATTCTTGGTTTTCGCAGAGATTAGCAGTAACCATAGGTTGATAATTCCACGTTTACAACACTTTATTATTAGGAATTTTGAGTGCCTCTCATTTCCGTTAGCCCATTCAAAGATGTTATAATAAAATTGAAAATCGTTATTTCTATACCTTTCTGGCAGTGTGGAGATCAGTAATTTCATTATTTGGAACAATGTACTGTATGTCAGAAGTATAGAGTGTTTGTTCTTCATTCAAATTCAACACCTAAACATGCTTACTTAAGGTCTGATCCCATAATCTACCCTCAAAACTTCGATATTAAGTAAGCTGAGTCTTTGTCAATTGAAAGGGTGTTCATGTAAAACCTAAATCAAACTCTATGAATCTCTCTACACTTCATCCGTAATCCGAACACTTATTTTAGGCCACGACATCAAACTGCTTCACAGATATGACGTGTTGATTAAGGCTCTAACCTGACGGTGTATTGATAAAGCATATTAGAGAGTAAATTTGATGGTGAATTAAATTCAATAATGTGCCGGCAAACACTGATAGTCCAAGATAAATAAACATACGCTTTACCACTACAACGAAAAAAATGAAAGCAAACAGTTAAATATAAATACAAACACACTGAAAATACTTTAAAATAATCGCAATCCAACAAATCGACTTTTCAACGAACTATGTATGCATCGCTACTAGTTTTTGAACAATGAAAGGAAACTCCAAACTTTATTTTCTAACAAGCTAAGGAATGTTATGTTGCAAACGATCGAAACATTACTATTTAATTTTATATAGGCGGCAGAACATGAAACAGTAGCCGCCTCAATCTTAAATCTGCAGATTGCTGTTTTTGGATTTCATACCTGTCTGGTGATTTTTTTTTTCATATAATTTTCATTATTAAGAAATTTTCTTTTGTACCGCCGCTAATATTCTCAATTCGAAATCGCGCGTTGTTTTTCATCGGTGAATATATCGCAGTCTATCATTAGTCGTATGATAATCACCAATCGCATAGACCAGCGCTCACTCTTTCTTCACACTATTAGGAAAATTGATGTGAAGACAGAGAAGTAGGACGGGTGAAATATCCCATCTTCTGATCGATTACAACTTCGAGAACTCATCAAAGTCATTAAAATAACCAAAAAATATGTCTCATCTTATTACTTGGATTTTGTGATTGATTGAAACACAGATGAATAGAGCGAGTGATTTGACAAGAAAAATGTACTTTGTTCCCTAGAAATCATTTTAGAAAAATCTGATTTATTTTGAAAGTCATTGCATAATAAAGTTTCTTAGAAATATGGCATCCCTGGTCATTTTCAACCTATTGAATAAGACAAAAAATTAAAAGCTTAATTGAGTTGAACAACAAATTATTAGAACTATGCACCAGACATAAGAATGTTTTCGTTGCATAATAATTCATATTATATCCACCAACTGGTGATTATTATGATTATAAAAATGTTTAGGCCTATGGCGATTCGGAAGACATCATGATGGAATGTTGGTAATGATGATAATACTGATGTCGATGGCGGTGTTGCTGATAAGGATGATGAAGATAAAAATAATTTAAATATTGAATTTTAAATAGGCCTATTTTTATATTCCATATAAGCTTAATTTTATAACAAAGACAATATCAATATTATTAGTAATAATAATTTCTACTGTTATTGGTAGCAGAACTAGAATATAACATAATTTATGATTACTAATATTAATTTCTCATGATTAATAACCAGGCCTACAAAAATTCTTATATTTTTTATGTTAGTTAAGTTACATATTTTTTATTGATGTATTGAATAATTCATTAAACCATATTTCACATTTTCAAACTTGTTATATTGATAGTTTAAACGTTGATCACGACGATTGAAAGACAGATGAATTAATTTGAATTTAACGTACCATTGTGTATCCCTGTGCAGTGGAAAATGCCTTATCGTATAATTATCATTGATTTTCCCTAAAAAAAAAAAGACATTTACACTCTAATCCTAACGTGTTTTAGTAAACGTGTTTTTGGTTTGTGTTGAAATCACTAATGTGGAAATTATTGCAAATAGGAATCTTAAATTTATACACGACTCAAAACACAATTAAATTAAATGTAAATTTAAACGATTTGTGCACAAAACGGCAAACCAAGTTTTACATATCTGTAAACCATTATTTTTAATTTATTCTAAATCAGAATCAGAAAGTATAAATGATTGAAACTACATTGTGCCAATGCCAGTGCAATGTTAGAATACTATTACAAAACAAACCAAAATAGGCCTATGTTACCGTACAATATTTGAATTATAACTATTTATGTTACAATACAATAGTTACAGAATGTATACAGAGTATTATTATACATTTTTATCAGAATGACCTTACCGTAATTAACGGTGTAGCATTCCTGGGCTTATCTGCAATAGCATATAGTATCAGATATGTAGCGCTAATTTAAAATATATCAAAGGCGCGAAGTTTGGAAAATAAGGCAAATTTAATAATTATTCTTGAAGTAAATAGGTTTTTATATTTCTAAATGTAAACAAATTAAGCGAACTGTGAACTGAAAGAAGCAATAAGTTACATGTAGAAAGGGGGCTTAATAAATATGTCCTTAATTTATAGAAATTAGAACTATTCTATTTAATACGATTTTAAATTAACAATTTTATTGATTCACTTACACTAGCAAAATTAAGAGTCTTATGCAAATTATCATGGAAGGTATTATTTATACCGTTGTGAAATATTAGTTTCTACCAATAAAATAACTAACAAATATACTTTAAAAATTTCAAAACAAATTTCAAGTTACCAATATCAGGTACAGTAAGCCACGATATGAACAAAATCAAAGTGTTAATCTAACATAATTTTTACTAACAAAATTTATTCAATATCGGCAAATAGGCCTATAACAGACTATTTATATTATGGAAACTTTGAATTAGTTATTTGAAAGATTCACATAAATTATCAAGTCACAGATCTAAAACCAAACTTTCAATTACTTAGAAGACAAAAAAAAAAATCATAAAATTTTATGGGGATAATTTTTTTTTCTTTTAGAATTGAAATGGGTATATCCAACAATTTTAAATTTATAAGAATTACATTATTTATATATCAATATGTTCATTGATTGGCAAAAATATTATTTATTTCGTTAAATCATACAAATTAGATAATTTATATATATAAATATATATATGAATGTTTAACGATGTGATAATGATATGTTGTATTATTTAACTGTACATCGAGTAAACTGCAAAACAGATTTGTGTTGTGTATTTATCGTTGAATAAAATAATTTAAAATATTCATTGAAAGCCAAAGAGATACATTTTTTTTTACTAATAAGTTACCTGCGTATTTTAAAGAATACTCAATAAAATTCAAATATAAAATACATACTTTATAATTATTATATTGTGCACAATTTTTAGTCAGAATTTCAATGGAAATATAAAGATGACCTTGTTAATTCAAAATCTAAAATCCAATTGTAAAACAAAACAGAATGTGTGATATTAATAATATGAAAATATGACCTTCATAAGAATGAGCAGAATCAGAATCTAAATATATGAATCTAATTAATGTTTAATTTGCTACGAATTTTACAAAGCGGTCGATTGATTGAGTAGATTAAAAATTTATGCCCAAAGGACATACTTCTGGCATGAAGACACAATAAATCATAGATAGCGTAGACATATGCAACGAACGGTGACTAACATAAATGATAAAGAAACTAAAGAACATTTATAATTCTTATTTTTTGAACGAACATTCCTACTGGTACACTTTGTTCTACTATGTATATATAGCGCCGCCTAACGCCAGGATAGATGAATATCGAATATCACTGCATGCAGTGCTTTATAATTTTTAAGTTTTATATATTTGTATATGAATATATGATTTGGTTATTAGTATTATAATCTAATTGATAAATTCAATTATATATAGAAACACGAACAAATATATATTTAGGAGACAGCTCAGGTGAGGAATTGTCTGTCTGAAGAGAAAGGCAGAAACACTTAAATTCCACTAAGCATTCTTCTGTGACCTGAATGGAATTAAAGAATTAAATACTCGGCCGACTTTTGACCACATCCTCAAGAGATTCAAACGGAATCTTTTTTTACTAAAAAAGCAAGTAACGAAATAAGGTCAGCATTCCTAAAAACAGGGATTATACAAGATTACAATTTGTTTAGAGACTCTTTTAAACTAAGACGTTTATGTAGGTAAAGTTAAAAAATATCAATAAACAATAAGCGCTTATTACTGTAGGTTTTATTGTGTGTTGGATACAACTCACAAAAGAATAAAGTTTACAGGTAAACAATGATGCAAGAAAACTATTACTCTCAAGGTTACCTCTCACGACCTTAATATTGTAGACCTACATTCAGTATGTTAGGCTTA